TCAGCAATAGTGGAAGTATCAGCAGTAATAGTGGTAGCATCAGCAGAACTGGTAGTATCAGCAATAGTGGAAGTATCAGCAGTAATTGTATCAGCAGTAGTGGTAGGATCAGCAGTAGTGGTAGGATCAGCAGTAGTAGTATCAGCAGTAGTGATAGTATCAGCAGTAGTAGTAGCATCAGCAGTAGTAGTATCAGCAGCAGCAGCAGCAGAAGCAGCATCAGCAGTAGTAGTATCATCAGCAGCAGCAGCAGCAGCAGTATCATGGCGCAGATTGAGCGTCACATTGGGACGCTAACATCTTATTACGGCTCGTTAGAAGACACAGGTGCAGAAGATCTCATTAGTTAGCATGATTGTTCTATTCATTTTAATACGCGCTGAGACGTCTTCATGGGAGATGGCACAAAGGAGGAAGGCCCTTTGCACACAGCACAGCCCAGTAAACAGGATGATCACTGACATCTAGTGGCAATGACGTGCAATTGCATTGTCAAGATTCATGCGTTAATGCACTGCATCAGAAATCATACTAAACATACCTACACGCCCCTCATTTTGATGGTCAATTTATGTCACAATGGACAAAGTCGTATTCAACAGAAGTTTACATTTACATTTTACTTGAGCAAACCTGGAGCTACTGAGTCTCAAATGGTTTTAAAGGACAGGGAAGGCCCTGTTGCTTTTTAATTCAGATGTAGCCAGTGACATTCATATGAATTATAACAATCGTTTCCCATGATAAGTAGAGTTTGAAGTGATACCGAATACCTTTCCTTTGGAATCACTTACACCATGGAGCAAATAAAAGGTAGTATTAAATATATTAACCGTATCTTACAGGAATGGAGAGATTAACCCAGACATGAGGTGAGGTACACAGGTCATCCACGTGATGGCAGCATAAGCCTGTAAGAGTAAAGGGCTCCGATCCAAACCACAGGAAATGTTTAGAGAATTGAGGTCAATATTTGACTGTCACCTTTGTGACATGTGATATCTTCATTTAATGCATGTGATTCCATTGTAAACCACTTCTCAAACCTTGTTCTGTGGGTCATTAAAGAATAACTGACTGTCAAGTGACTTTAATGCAGTGTTCCCCAACCTTTGAGCCGTGCCACATATTTGTCATTGCAAAAAAAAAATCACATGACACACCACTAACTGAATTTGAAAGTCATTCTTATCAACGTGTATTATATAGATAATCAAACAAAAATAATCTATGTAATAATCTCCCATTATTTTCTTTACACATGACTTAGACCAAGCAGGTGATATTGAATCATTTCCAAGGCACACTATTAAACATCTGAAGGCACACCAACGTGCCACGGCCCACTGGTTGAAAAACACTGCATTAATGTAGTGTGGGGTTATGTTGTTTTTATTGTTGGTGCACATTAAAGTACACAGTGTAACTTATTCAATGCATGACATTGACATTTTAATAATTTAATCCATCTAAAGCCAATGTCTTCAAAGCATGATTTTGTACAGTGACCTCTGTTGCTTTTTATTACGATGAAGAAGATAAATCTATACTGTAAACCCTTTGCAGCAAAACATCGACTCTCTGGAAACTTGCAAGAATCACAGCATCAAAAAAGCTCGACAGTGATGCTGCAGTTAGAGCGGAGTCTTTGTTTCCAACCAAAGGCAACCACGGGGCACTTGCTTATTCACATGGTTTCCTCCGGGCGCTCCGGTTTCCCCTTCCACTAAAAACACATACTCCTCCCTTCTGAGGCCAGCGCTCCCAAAGAGACTGAAAAAGGGACTCGAAAATCTCAGCTGGATCATCCTGGTTAAATATAGGTCAATAAAGTTACACAGCGAGATGTCATTGAGCAGTTATCGATCTTTTATTCTTGTTCCTAATCCATTGTACGAGAAAACATAGAAGACACGATGCCAGCGCAGATTCTGACAAAATAAACAGCTCTGTGGCACCTCTCTTTTCTTATTGCAGAATCCATTTATTGTTTTCATCACACATTTTTGTACAAAACAGAGGAAATTTGCTTGGCGAGGATCAAAGGAACCGTGTCTCCTCAGAGTGGAGATCTGAGGGAGAGCACTGCTTTGTATTCTGGCGTCAGTCAGCCGCAGTGTGTTTGTTCTGCAGTTAAAACGGGACTTTACAGGGAATAACACGACACAGGTGGTGCTAGTACCACTGAGCGTAACCTGCCCTCAGCACAGCCTCCTCTGCTGCTGCTCTGAGCGCCCATTAGGCCCATTAACACCAGAGTCGCACTGGGAACACTGCCACAAAGAAACGTCTGCTCTAATGTTTCCTGCATTTCTGTTGCTTTGGATGAAACTGAAACAAATCAAATGGTTGTCAGTCTCTGGTGGCCTGCATCTCATTTGGATTCAAATATTGTATTTGTTTAAATGTTAAAAGACAAGTGACAGGTTTTTTAAGAAAGTGTGGGGAAGTATGAGATATCAAAATGTACACGTCATTCTAACTCATAGAAATTGTGTTAATCAAAGAGTCGAGGAAGAAAAGAGACAAGGAAAGATCTTTGGGTCCTTAGTAATTAAAGGACTAGTCTAAAGTATGAATGTTTCCAGTGAATGGTGTTTTCCACAAACCTTGTGTGCTACATTTTAGTATTTTGCCAGGTACTGCACATTGTAAAACCTAATAATAATACTCATAAAAACACTAATTGGACAAGAGCTTACTCATACTAATACTCATTTACTCTATGCATTTGATCATCATGTAACTTCCAATGATAGCAGAAATTTGTTTGGTTAAAATCTTTTTTTTTTTTTAAAGACTAACTAATTATTTTGATTATTGATTATTCATGCAATTAAGTTGTTCAGAAAATTTTTGGTAAAAAGAAAAAGAAAGATAAATGAATAAACCAAACTATTTTATTAGTGTTATGCATTTGTAGTTTTATTTTGTGTGTAATTACTGATCTGTTTGAGTCTTAAAATAACATCTTTAAGAACATGTGTTGCACTCAGTACATAAAGCATTAAATTAAATCAACCATCAAAGATAGTTTACGATTATTGAAAAAACGTCTGATAAACAGTAGAATCGTTACAGCCCTAGATGAAACCAAAAACGCAGAGCAACTCATTTTAATTTTCCAGAGGGCCGGACTTTACATAGTACACCACATTATGAGATGATCTTTGGACACAGTTTGAAAATATTACAAAAAATGTGCTTCAAAGTCATTTTTATAACAATATCTGCTATTTTTCGGGTAAAAAAAAGTAGGACTCAATCACAAACCAAATTTTAAACACAATTAAAAACGAACTACTGAACCAACAAACAAGATATTATAAACTACGCCTGATTGGCAGATTGGCCCTGGGGTCGCAAGTTGAATTGTCCTGGTCTAAAGTAATGCAATGAGTTCATGAAGTCAAAATAATACGGAAGTGAGATGTCTGGACTTTATAGCCCTTATTTTGGCAAGTTTCTCACAGATCTCCAATATACCAAAATCCCTATGTCCCAACAAACATTATTAGTGATGATTGTGTAAAAACACACAAATCAATAGAAAAAGATTTACAGTATTCCACTATGTACACACACAGGTAAAACAGGAGTAGAGGAGAAAGAGCAGTGTGCTTTCATTCCGTTAAAATGTGCTCAGTTGTCCCTCTGAGGTGGAAGAAGGTGAAGAAACCTTAAAGAACAGTGACGTTAGCGCCGGTTTCCCAGCGCCACAGTGCACAAAAATAGCGCAATTTTCCAGATAAGGGGAGAGAGTGTGCAAATCAAAAACCTGCAAAACTGTCCCGCCACATCACAGACTCTGGGCATCCACACCATATGTACAGCCCGCTAAAGCATTCGAGAAGATCAAGCTGAGGACCAAAGGGAAAGACGGTCCCAAAGGTAGAATAAAATATGGTGTAAGTTTGGATATGTGTTTGAGTTAGTTACCAGTCTGAGCCGAACCAAGAAAAGTATTTGTAGAATGTATTTACTAGGGATGGCACGAGACCCAATTTCCACACAATGACACCCAGGATTGAGACAAGATTTTTACAATTTTTCAAAATAGCTTACATAATATACCATATAAATAAGTTTGTTGTATTGATTGATATTCACTCAGTTCTGCAGTGAAAATCCACACTATAGACTACCACTTACTTACCAACTACAAATCACATTTTAATAATACTTTAATATTGCGCTTAAGTAAAAGGCATTTCTTCTTCACCGCTCCTGTGTAGTTTAGCCCCGCCCCCTCCTTCTCGTCTCATCCCTGGTATTAACTGGCCCCTTCATACAGGTCCAACAGGTTTCATTTATACATTCTGTATTTTATGTACTTTTAATTAGGTTTCAGTCTAACTTGACGACATTGCAAACTAAATAAGCAGCAGTCTGCTGTGCCCGTTCCCTCTGAGGTTAGCTTGCACGAAAAAGGAGCATCGAGTACAGAGGTGTGAACGCTTGTTAGCGTCGAGCAGCTTGTTAGATTCTAGGCTGTGCTTGTTATTGCAACAAACAACATACAAATGCAAATACAACATGAAAAACATGTGAGGAGAATGATTGGGGCTTTTGACCAGATGATGCAGCCTGTCAAAGAGAGGAATCAACAGAGGGTGGTTGCATGATTTACCGTTGGCAGAAGCCTGGCCGCTTTGGTCCACAGTTCAGTCCAAACTTGTACTTTGTAGTTCATAATGACTTCTCGCTCCCTGTGCTTATTCAAACAACACTCACTTTGTTGTACGATACAAATATTTGTCCAGTGATATAAAAAATAAGTCATGAAGAACATGTCCATGTGTGTTGCTTTACTGACGTGCAGTAAAGAGAGTCTATAGTTGTCCTATCGGTTCCCCGGGCGCGTGGCTCTAGACCTGAGTGGAGTAGGAGCGGTGCAGCGTGGGGTGCGCCCCTTGAGCCGGCTGATCCAGGCTGCGCTGGAGGTGGAGCGAGCCTGTGTGCGGACACCGAGGCTGACGGGGAACCGATAGGGCTGATGGTCATGTGATCTCGCTGTACGCAGAGCTCCGCGGAGTCTGCAGGGAGAGACAGGAAGTGGCCGGGGAAAGAGAAGAGAAGTAAAGAAAAGAAGAATAATCAAGAGCAATGCACTGGAATGAGGCGGAAACAGAGAGAAAAAAAAACAACGGGACAGAACGGAAATAAGGCAACAGAGGAGGGAGAGGTGAGGATCTGAGGTTAGAATGGCTGGACGTAGGTGTTGTAAGCGGGGGACGAGGAGGACAGGGAGGGATGCTGCAGAGAGGGAGTGGAACAGAGGAGAAAGGCCATCAGGAGAGGGTTAGCGACAGACACTGTACAGGACACTCACACCAACTGATTACAAACCAACAAACCATAGACTGTATACAGGGATGGACAGTGCAAACACACTAACTTGAGGAAGTTAAATTGGGAAATGCTCATGTTTTTTTTTTTTAATTTTCAACTCCATTTGGCTCCCATTCACTTACATTTAGAAGTAAACACCTCTCACTCTGTAATGGTTTCACACTCACCGTTCTGGTATCAAATATCCATGAATTTGGCTTTGGCTAGCAAAAAGGGCAAGCAAAAATGCACTAGCCTCGACCCGGATTGGTTTCTTGGTTGCTAATAGAATTTGGCTCCAAATTTGCGGGACAGGGAGCCAACTCTAACTGTCTTCATCCACGCCTTTCTACGGTCTATGGTACAGACCAAAAGTCAGTTCATGTAGCTTCAAATGCAGAGGCTTTGAAAAACAAAGTCTTACTGAAAGAAAGCTTTGCCCAGTTTCATTCAAGGACAAGATAAACAAAGACAGCTTAATACATTAATATATGAACAAACCCGTATTTGAATGCTACACTTTTGCAAAATGTTACAATATCATATTGTTTATGAAAATTGCAACTATACAAATGTAGAAAGTTAAACAATCAGTAGAACGACTGTTTAAAATCCCCCAACAAACACACAATGAATAGTAAAAACAAACAAGTTATAATAAGACTCTGTCAAATACTTCCATCTGAAGTATTTGAAATAATCACCAAAGTTTGATTATTTATATGGCATATGCTCAAATAAAGTACTCAATAATAATGTAAGATAGATCTGTGCGATGTCAGTGTTGTAATTAACAGCCAAAATAATGTACGAGTTTCCCCAAATAAAGACAATTTTTCAGCGTTTCCATCTTGCTTTATTCATTTCGTAAAACCCAAACACTTACTGATAAAAGAGAAACACATGAAAGTGGGCTTATCCCTCTGTGTTTAGTAATTGTTCAATACAATAAAAACACGAGTGAATACAGAGGAAATTCCACACACGTTGGGGTTTGACTTAATCTCTATGAATATTCCCTCGTGTTTTAAATGAGTTTTGTAGGTGGTGAACATTTCTTCTCCGCAGTCCTGCATTGGGCTAATTAAGTGTGAGTGGTGAAACAGAAATGTGTACTTTTGGATTTGAGCCTCACTGTGCTGACTGAGTTTAATGAAACAGTCTTCAATGTGCAACAGTGAGATTCAAATGCAAAACAGAAACGGTGGACAAAGTTTGAGGGCACAAAGATCTGTGTGGAGACTGGAGTGCAGGAGACAATAGTATAATCCTGTATGGCTTTTATAGACCAAGTGTTAGTCGATTAAAAACATGTCCTGACGATGGATTAGTAGAATAAAAAGGCTCAAGACTCTGGACTTTAATTCTACACAATAACTACTGCACTTTAGTACTTTAAACTTGGGAATCAAGAGCTTTATCAGCCTAAAAGAACAAATCAAATGCCACACCAGATTTTTCTCTCTATATCTTCTCATTGTTGCATTTTATCATAGAAATATTTGAAATGTAAAAAAATGATTAAGTCGATTTGTACAAGTTTTTGTCGACTAAGAACTTTGGGCTGATTAATCGACTAAACGACTAAAGGTCTGCAGCTCTAGTATAAGTTCAGCCTCACTCCCGGCCGGCCCTTACCTGAGGACCACTTAACTTTTCGAGAGGACTCTCCACACAAGGCAGCGTCACCATGGGAACCCCCAGCATGGAGTCAGGCCGCTGGGTTCGAGCCGGAGGTCCAATGGGCAGCAGGCGCTGGAAGTTGTTGATCACACAGGTCACCTACAGAAAAACAACATTATCAAATAATCAGACTTGAAACAATTACATAGTTTTTTTCTCTTTTAGGTGCCAACGTAACAGAATTGCTACATGAAACAACAATTTATATTTCATTTATTTCTTTCATTGACATTCCTTTATCTTTCATAAAATTTCAGGGCTTCCTCATTTCAATCACGATTCATCACAATTATTGAAAAATAAAAACTCCCCTAAAGGTTTAGGTGCACATTAGTGTCAGTGTTTGACCTTCTTTAATAACCATCTGTTCACATTTTATTCATGCACACATAACATTTCCAATTAAAAAAGTATGTTTTACGATGTACACACTTCAAACCATTCAGACTGCAACAACTTCCATTAGACAACAATGCAACGTTAATCAAACAATAACTGAATGTTTAAATCCAAAGTGCATTTTACTGTTGAGAAAATAATAATACGGAAAAAGTGGAAGGAATGTGCAGGCCAACATTTTAAAACCATAAAACCACTCAAATAAAAGGACTAAGGACTGCATGTTGATGGCTCTAATACAGACTAATATTCCGTAACCAAAGTACCTGCAAGTATTTCTAAAGCAGATGGTGATACCTGTGAACATAAGGCTGAGCGAAAACTAGGTAAAAATAACGAGGCATTGCACAAATAACACATGTTACTGCTCTGAGAGTTCTTTTACAGGTCCATTAAGTCTTGATGCTTGGACATTTTGTGAGACTTTGAATTGTAGAGGAAGCTTTCAATTTAACACAAGCAGCATGATAATGTCCTTGTAAATAATTCCCCCAAGTAATACAATACCAGGAAAATGGCTATGGACGCTCCAGTGAAAAATCCAGCCAGCACGTCGGCCCAGTGGTTCCGATATTCAGCCACTCTCACGACTCCCACCATCATGGCCAAGCAGAGCAGGGTCAGGCTGATGGTGGGCTTGGTCAGTCGCGTGCCTTTTGTCTTGAACACCAGTGTCACATACATCTATGGAACAAACAAGAGGATTAAGATAAGATAGACCTTGAACATTCACCCCACAGTGGTGAAATTTCAATTAAAAAAAGGCTTCCACCAGCACCTGCTTCTGATTAAACCCCGTCTAATTAAATTTGAATGACAGGAAAAAATTGGATATTTGGGGGAAAATTATCATGTGGTAGTATTAAACCAAGAAGACCAGCGGTGGTACTTCTGAGTAAAAAAAAAAAGAGTCCAAAATATGGACATGGGGTAGTTATAAGTAGTAAGTAATAAGAAATTAAGATGTTGAAAATCTGCAACGGTGGCCTGCAGAGGATTAAAACAATTACCACACTCACCACTGTATACACTGCGGAGTAGACACTGAGTGCTGCATCCTTGGAGGGGAAAGACTTCCGGGCGTTCATGACCACGAGCGGGTTGCCGGTGCAGGCACGACGCTCCGTGATGTACTGCAAAGTAGATTGGCAACCCAGGGCTGTGTAGTTGGGGCGGCACGCAGACAGGAAGTGAGGGCTCTGGTTTCCCGTCACCACTTGACCGGCGTTGGCAAAGATGGCGGTGGTGAAGAGCCCAAAAGCGTAGACGCCTGGATGAGACGACAATGTGTTAGAGGAAGTGAAAATAATGCTTTAGTAACACTGCTCAAAATAACCTCGACACGTTTTCAGCCCGAGTGTAAAACTGTGACTGATATCTTCACCTCATGTTTTCATGCAAAATTGTCAGCTATTTAATTTTCACATCATTATAACTTTGCTCTTTGCTTAACAACCAATTAACAGGGAACTGGATTCTTAACGTGAAGTGGCAGCAGCTTTCACAAACCGCAGATACAGATCTCGGGCGAGGCCTTAGTTTTACCTAGGAAGCGGATGATGCGACGCAGGACGGGGTTGAAGTAGCAGCAGTCTGCGGTTACGATAGTCTTCTCCTGAGTCCCTTCTGCCTTAGTGAACAAGACACAGAGCTCTCCAGCCAGGATCTGGACACAAGAACAAGAAGATGTGGTAAAGAATAAAATCATGGTCTTTCACTTTATTGAATTTTCTGTGCTAAAAGTTGCACCAGTCAAAAATACATATGGAAGAAGAGAAAGGTGTTTGTTTTTATGCACTAGCCACTGTAATTACTCCGAACATGTACATTTCTAGTGATACAGGAGAAGCAGTCTACAAGTCTATAGTGCCATCCCGAGGCTGTCATTGTAACAACATGTGAAATTGTTGTATGTCACATCCACAAATATGAAAAAAGTGCAGCTTATTGTCCCAAAAATACAATACATGTAAATATGTAGGCATAGAAAGAATTTTAAAAACAAATACAAAAATACCTCAGTTCAGCTAAACATATTTAAAGTATGAATAAGGTGGTTACAAAACTGAAGGAGCTGGATTTGAACCTCCAACCTTCTTGTAAATGACAACAAGAAGTGTAAATGTTAAATTCATTTCATTTCAAAATATCAGCACAGCAATAATCCTTTAACACATGCTGTATACTTCAATGTGTCGCTCGATGGCATAATCCGGTAATCCAGTAAGGTTTTAAAATAGTTTAGCTCAACACATGGAAAGGCTTACAAACAAAATGATGCACAACTTAATCCTTTAACTGTCAGAACATGGATATGATATTTTCTCTCTAATATGAAAGCTTCTTGATATCATGTGATCGACTTATTGTCAGGGAGAACTGGTCTTCAATCGCACTAGCACTGGCAGAGAAGCAGAATTATTAATCCAACTATCTTTATTAATTTTCCAATAACTGACATACCACTTTGAAATCTTGAAAAACAAGATTGGTGGATTGTAGAGTAGTATGTTTACTCCCCCCCAACCCCCCACCCACAAACATACCCTTGTTCAGGTCCAAAAATCAAACAAAAAGTAATGATAAAGGAGAGAAAAAAAATTACATGGAGAACAGTAAAATGGAGAATATATAATTATTAATAGTAATAATACAAAAAAAACAAAAAAAAAACAGTTAATCCCTCTCAGCTTCCGGAAGTAACTTGGATCATATCTACCAATGTACGGGACACGGGACATTTTGAGAAGCATAATTATTGACAGGCATTTAGGGATTCATCATAACTATACGAGCTTTGATAATATTTATGAATAGAATGTATGCCCATCTATTGTATTACACATGAATTATATTTTATACATACAAAACACAACGCTACTGTTAAACAAAGATATTGATTCTGTTCAATACTTCCTTTGTCAGTATCATTTGAGATTAATATCTAAAAGAAATACAAAAGTACATTCATGGTTTAGAATTTATGTTTTAAGAGAAAAAAACCCTGCATATTTAGATGTTGGAGGAAAGTTAATGGCAACATAGTACATAGTCCATAAAGTCTGCTCCTATATTTCAAAGTGGCAAAAAAGGCCTGAAATATTTTGTAATGCATCATAAAACTAATTACAACCATTTCAGTCCGTAGATATCAGGCAGATGACAAATGACATAGATTTAGTTGGAGCTCTAGAGGTGGCCTATCTCCTGTGAACTACCATCACTAATGAGCTGGTGGCAAAAGTACACGCAGTGAATCTTAATCATTCATTCAGGTAGAGCTAGAGAGAGGATCATAGCAATATGCTGGTGTAGTGCTGGGAGGGTAATTGTTCTCATTATAGTTTATCTCCTCTGCGCTCCTAATGAACTCAAAATACGATAATGTCAAGTTGTCTAACCTAAGGTTGTATAGAAAACCAACAACAAAGTTCGATTACAGGCAACATAACCTGCAGAACAATTCACAGCTTTTGAATGTGTTATAGACGTTTTCATTTGTCAATTACACTCAAAGCTGTTTTAGCAAGATTCATGCAAGTTTGAGTTATTTATATCCTCACATCTCACTCCAACAGTAAACATGGCTTCCTAGTTCTTATTGCTCCTAATGGTTGACCTTCAGGATCAAGTAGAAGATGTAAAGGACCTCCTTACAGCCTCCTAAAGACTTCGGATGATACTTGCTAAAATTGGCTGATGAACACCACAGAACAATGAGCACGCAGCGCACGCCTCTGATAGAATTATATCAGTGCATCATTGGATACAGCACTTTCTTCTGCTAAAAATGTAAAGGAAAGTGCACATAGCAGCATTTAACACATTATTACCACTTGACTGACTACAGAGTGTTCATTCAGTTTTTAGTTTAAAGTGAAACATTAACACCGGTGACTCTGAAGATTTCCTCTCTGTGATATAGCGTTACGTATTCAGGATAATGACGAGGTCAGTTCAGCTGTTGTCCTAAATGCATGGTGGGATCTCCTACCGGCTCCCGTACGAGGAACGTCCCCAGTTTCCTTTACTAGAAAGGGCTCTTGAAGGATCCGGGAGGTTCCTTTCTTTACTATCCCTTAGCGTTATGGCCCAATTCAGAATCTCCTTGTCACGGAAGCAGAATTACCAGCGGCCGGTGACGCATTTAATGGATTCGGAAAGAGGTTGAATAAGGCAATGTGGAGTCTATTATAACTAGGGATGCACGTTTTCCAAAATTTCCTTAACCGTTAGTTGCAGCTCCTGGCGGTAATTAATTGATTAACCGTTGCTTAATCGTGTGCGCAGTCTATTTACAGTCAATCCAGCTGTTGAAAATACCCTTTCTGATGGAACTGATGTGCCAGGAATGGCCAAATACTTCTGGGCAAGCTTTGCAACTCTGGGGAAACGCGTTGCGTTGGTTTTCCACCAGCGCATTGGGTTTACTTCAAGGCTGATTGGGTTTTCTGTAAGATTTTTTTTAACTTCTATTTCCGCGGTATTTATTGCGTTACAGAAATATGTGTTTCCAAGCAATAATGCCATTGCTGTCGCTGTGTTGTCCTCAGGCCTTAAGGATGCGCTGTCCCGAGGCCTTGACGCGCTTTCCTGCCCCTCATCATCTCCGTTGTCTCCATCAGCTACGAGTTCTCCCTCACCATCTTCCATGCACAGGATTTTTGCTGCCAGATCGCACAGTATTTAATTGGCCAATGTTTTTTTCAAGCGCTCGAACATCTCTGCGACGCTTTTCCAACGCGTCTTACAGGACTGAATAAGTTTGTAAATTGGAAGCTTCATTTGGTCTTGTTTCCTTTCGAGCGCTTTGGACGCCACTTTGCTGTGGTTACAACAGTGTTGTGCGTGAACGAGTTCAAAAGAACGCGTTCATTGAACACGCTCAGTTTTTTGTGAACGTTGAACTGAACGCAACACATTTTAAAAAAAGAACTTGAACGTGAATTAGTTCATATTATGTGTCATGAACGGCAGACATCACTATGAACGTTGGAATCTGTTTTCTCTTTTGAAATGCAACGAGAGAAAGTTCCTCCCTCCTGTATTCTCGCCCCTTTTCCGCTGAAATCTAAAAATTCCTACGGTTTCCACCGTCTGTGAACGCACCGCGACTCTGTGTTGCGGTGCGGCGCTGTGAGCTGGTGCTTTTCACATGTGCCCGAGTCGTGATGAAAACACAGGGTGAGTTAGCAACAAAGTTTACACCGTTTACATTTGACACAAAGTATAGACACACGCACTGCAGCGCATTACTGTCTGTAGTTTATGAGCAGAGATGGAGCAACTCTGTTTTGCTCACATTGAAAACCATGTAAATCTGGTCTGTTTTGTAGTCAAAAGGCTCTCCTCCTGTGGGTGTACAGGATATTATATTATATATATATATATAATATAATATTTATTGAAGTATCTCACGAAAAAAGTTTAATGAACTGAACTTTGAACTAGTTCAGAATTAAAAATGTGAACTTTGAACGTGAACTGTTCACTTTGAGCATGTATGAACTGAACTTGAACTAGTTCAGAAAAGCTGTGAACTGGCACAACACTGGGTTACAATGACCCACAAGCTTTGCAGCTGCTGAGATGACACGATACAAATGTAAAGAAAAACCATCATTTATTGCAAGTTGAAGGGTGTGGGCAAAGCATGGAACAGACTCCATTCAGCATTCCTGTTGGCGGCAACAATGTTTTTTGCATTGTCGTGTACACAAGCAGTCACGCGCCCCGTGAGCCCCCACTTTTCAATTGATTCTTTGATCTTTTCTGCAAGATTTTCAGCTATATGGCGGGCAGACATCGATTCAGTTAAAAGCACAAATGATTTTAATTCCCAGTCCGAGTCGATTAAATGGCCAGTGCAGTCCAACAATCCGTAGAAATAGCGATCCATTACGCTGTCCGTACCAAGTCTTTCACGGTATTTTTTTTATCCTCGTATCTTGTGACTGCAGAGCGTGATGGGACTTTGTATCAGGGTTGAATTAAAGCCATAAACTGACGAAATCCAGCGCCTTCCACCATGCATATTGGCATCATGTCCTTCTCAATCATTCGGCAAATACCTTGAGTTATTGATTTGGCTTTTTCGTCATTGCACCTGTTCTGAGCAAGCATCGTGTTGATGGTAGGCTGGGTCGAGGCCATGGTCGATGCGCTGCCACTGGCGCAAGACACAGTCGGGTGGTGGCTATTAATGTGATATCTCAATACTTGCATTTTGCCTTAACCTTATCCTTTTGTAGGATAAAATGCTCCCACGCTGTACTTTTTCTCCGCTTCATCATGCATGAACATGTGCTACTGCTGCTTCTGTTTTTTTGACCTATGCGTTCAATTGTTTTGTGGCCTCTAGTGGCGCAAACATGCAGTTATTTGGTCAATGTGCGCATACTCGGTCACATGCTTAGTTGCAGTTAATCGATTAATCGGTTAACTATGAACACCCCTAATTATAACATTGTTTTAGTTCAATATTAATATTTCCATCAATTTATCTTTTTTTCTTCCCCTTTGTCCATTTCTGAGTTGGAGGGTGGCAATGGATAGCACTACTATAAAAATAGTGATGGCGCAGCCGGGGCCCCACCCTGGAGCCAGGCCTGGGGTTGGGGCTCGTACGCAAGCGCCTGGTGGCCGGGCCTTAGCCCACAGGGCCCA